CACACACACATTCATACAAAACACACATAAGTTAGTATAAACATCAACATATCCGCCATTACATTTTGCATTATTTATTTTTATTTTATTACATTTGGAAGATACAATTCACAAAAAATGTCATTTTAAATTTAAGAGTTTGAAAGGTGTTTGAAAATGCCAGAAAACATTTGAATTATACTTTATAGTTGTGATAAAGCCCTTGTGACCAATCAGAAATGCAGTAAATATAGAGAAGCTACATGTGAGATGTCTGTATTTATAAACAGCTCTGACCACAGTTGTCCTCATCAGCTCCGTTGGGACAGTCGTTTTGACTGTTGCAGTGCAGAACCTGTGGCAGACAGATGCTCATATTGCCACATGGAAAGTGACCCAGCGGACAGTTTTCTGAAGGCCTGTGCTCCAGACCTGCTGCTGGGACAAAATACAAGAACACGCTTAGGAATCAGATTTTTATACTTCTTTATGCATTACTTTCAAAGTTAAGGTAATATGCAATCAAATAATCAAGTGTCCTTCAGATGTAAATATGCAGTCGGGTGGTCTAAGTGCAGTAACTTTCTTTCTTTTTATCCTCCCAAGACCTTGATCATGTCTTATGTGATTATACATCTATCTTTACATTTACAAATCAGTACTTAACTATAATGATATTATAGTTAATTGAGGATACTTACTGAGGCTTTTAAGGCTTTAGTAAAAACATGAACAATAAGTAATCTGTAACAATTATGAGATATGAAGTGATACAATCCAGACAATGCTTATCTCCGAACACACATCAAAATGCTTCGGGAAAAGGGACCAACTGTGCAGATTATGTCAAAAATAAACCCATTTCCTTTGAGTGTTAGATAATAAAGACTCTTACTCCTCCATATGTAGCGGCACATGCTTCAGAGACAAGAACATTAGACTGGAATATTCATATGAGCAATCAGTGCAAATCTCTAATGCAAATTATTTTTGACAGCAATATGGTGCATTGTGGTAAGAGAGAAGAAAATAAAGAGGCGAGGAGAGAGATATCAAACCATAAAGAGATCTGCTTTCTTATAGGATTCATACATATTTATGAGGCAAAAGTGAATTTTAAAGAATGATGTAGATATATAATGAATTGGGTGATTTTTCTTTGACCTCTGTAACATGTCTTGTAACTGTCTGTGCAGTACGTGTCTTGGAATGTCTCAGTCACAGGAAAAAGACAACAGCTTGTGGTCTCATATTTAGGCATCTTTTACTATACTGAGCCCAAGAATCAATATCAGTATAGACTTAAATTATCATTGTATTAATACACAAGCACTATCAAACATATTTGGCTTTGGTTTGGTTGAAAGATTATTCATAATCATTTTGAGGAAATGTCATTCAGAATACACTCTGAAAACAAAAAGCTTCCAAAAGGGTGTTTTTTTTCCGCAGCGATGCATACCACAGAAGAACCATTTTGGGTTCTACAAAAAACCTTTCAGTAAACAATCTTTAAAAGAACCATGGTTTACCTTTTGTCAACATTAAAGAACCTTTTGTGCAATGGAAAGGTTTCAATGGATGTTAAAGATTCTTTTTGCAACATTAAGGGCAATAAAGAACCTTATTTTTTTGGAATGTAGTTGGTAAGCTGCCTGTTCCTCAAGAGCATAACAAACACTGGCCTAATTTACAGCAGTATTGCCAAGAAGAGTATTTATACATTAAATGTATACTTATATATATTTACTGTATTTCATATTATTGACTGATAAAGACTATTCAAATTTATTGAAAACAGGACCATATCCATTCAATTTAAAGCAAATTTGGTATTTGAAGAGTTCAGATGCAAAAGCCTCTAAATGTCGTCTGAAATTTTCTTCTAAAATGAGCATTTTTATCAGGCCCCTATATTTATGTTCAGTTATTTCACTTTAATTGCATAGATAAGGACCTATACATTGCCATTAGAGTAAAATTACTGAACCTAAACATAGCAGCCTGATAAAAATGCTCATTTTAGATGAAAATTTCAGATGGCACTTAGAGGCTTTTGCATCTGAACTCTTCAATTTTATAATCTTATTCAGTGGCTTTTTGATGCAATTACATCAAACCTAACCCCTTGAACCGTCTCCTCATGCAAAATAGTTTGAAATATACACCTGTTCCTCAAGCGCTAGAATGACTGGCCCAATTTGCAGCAATATTAAAAATAGTGATAAATATTATTTAAGATTGTGGATAAATATAGGCTGCATTTAATATTACTGATGATCAAGATCTCTCAAGACTATTATCCCTTAAAACCAAGGTTTATAAAACATGACCTTATCAAACCTCTCAAACTTTGGATCTAAATTTTGGATTTCAGTGTCCAACATGCCTCAGGTCAGGTGTTACAAGATGTTTTAATGTGGTACAGCACAATTTACATTTTTCCATCAGTACTGAAGGAATATTCAGCTACACTGTAAAAAATGTTTCATTATTATAACATCTTCACTTCCAGACATTTAACTGAAGTTTCAACTTGATTTTACTCACCATTTATGAAATATAATGTGGTTGAAAAAGTACAATGAACTTATCACTGCAAGTCTGGCACCACTTACAAATGTCACATGAACATGACTGGATTTGATAAGGTCATGGTTTATATAAAGGTCATGTTTTATATCAAATGTGGTTGAATGGATCAAGAATGGTCATGAGTAAGATATTTATGATCCAATAATATGAAATGTAGCTTATATTTAATATAAATAATATATATCAAAGAAGCCATTTAAGTTTTACATTTTAGTAGGTTAATTCTATTCCTAAAATTCCTATAAAATCTATTCCTAAATACATGAAATAAGCTAATTTTTTTTCTAAGATAACCCAGCTACGCTTTACTGAAAGGGATAATTTCTTACCTTTGATTGTTGTTATCGATATGGTGAACAATATCCATATAAAATATAAATCCGATGTAAAAACGGAAACAGCAGCAGAATGAACCGACCTCATTGTGGCGTCGTGCCAGTCGTACATGCCCTCATGAGTGTAATTACATTTTAACCAAACACTGAGCTAAAAAATCCTGATATCTGTCTAGACAGCTTTTTTCAAATGAGCATTGCAACTGTGTTGATAGTAAGAATAAAGACAGGAGCGCATTACTGTGTGTGTGGATGAAACGCAATCATGAGGTTCCCGCGCAATTCAAGAGCACAAAAGCGCCTGTATCTCATCGTAGAGTGAGTTTAGGACAATACAGGTAGAAGCCAGTCACATCTTATAGCGAATGCAAAAAGTTTGTCCAGCAGGTGAGAGAGAGAGAGAGAGAGAGAGAGAGAGAAAGAGAGAGCGCTGTGCGTCAGACTCATCCTCTTCTTTTGTGGTTGCTATGGAACCTGTTGTCGGTTAACTAGTCTTATATGTTGTTGTCATATAAGATATTGTCACAACAGATATCTATCTACCTATCTATCTATCCATCCATTCATCTACTGTATCTATTTTTCTATCTATCCATCCATCTATGATTTTGTTCATCTTTCCTTTTATCCATCTATCCATCATCCAACATTTGATCTATCTATCTATCTATCTATCCGTACATCATTTTATCTAAAAATTGTAATCAGCATTTCATTGAGGAAGTTTTGACAGTTACTTATAAGGGATAGTTCACCCCAAAATGAAAAATCTCTCATTAAATACTCACCCTCATGTTGTTCCAAACCCAAAAGACCTTCATTCATCTTCGGAACGCAAATTAAGATATTTTTTCAGAAACGAAGTGGACTTCAGTAAAACAGTCCATGTGACATCAGTGGTTCAACAATTCTTCTCCTCCGCATCACCTTAGCGCCATTATGGAGAGTATCATGACACATGCACATGCGTTCCTCTGCACGCAAACAAGGCGTGTTTTACGTCAGCAGCACCACACGCATGCGTCGTGATACTCTTTGTAAAATTAAGGTTGAACCACTGATGTCACATGGACTGTTTTAACGATGTCCTTACTACATTTCTGTGCCATGACCGTGGTAGTACCCTTGCTGTCTATGGACGGTCAGAGAGCTCTCGGATTTCATCAGAAATATCTTAATTTGTGTTCCGAAGATGAACAAAGGGTTTGCGGGTTTGGAATGACATGAGGGTGAGTAATGACAGAATTTTCATTTTTGGGTGAACTGTCCCTTTAAATAACCTGAAATGAAATCTAAATGAGTATAACTGCAAGTTGAGTTTGACCGTGCAGATGCTGTTTTGGAAATTTGTTCGGAAACAGTCATCATTAGGTGTATAAAATACACAGTTGACTTTTAAAATGTATGATGTTTTATCTCAGTGAATAATCTATTAAAGGTGACAACCGATGCAAAAATCACTTTTATATGGTGTTTGAACTTAAATGCGTCTTGGCAGTGTGTGTACACACAACCACCTTATAATGATAAAAATCCACCCAGTTCTTTTTTTTTTTAAATCCCCACAAATCATAAGCACTTTCTCCGTTCTAGCCGTTCACAGATTCTGGGCAAAGTGATGTCACACAGCTGTTGACGGACACTGGCTTTTATCACAGACCTTCCCTGAGTGAGCTGTAAACAGTCCGCCATTGTTTGGACTCCGGAGCAAGTGTAGACAAGAATGTCTCCTAAATGATTGAGGTGTTTTGTTGTTGGATGTAATGAACATAGCAGTCGTCATTTACCCCCAACATATGAGCCGCTGAAGATGCAGTGGATTACTTTTGTTTTTGAAGGAATTGTGCCCCACGATCTACCTGAATGTCTTTATGTTCGCATGAATCATTAATGATACAGCTTTACCTCCAGAAAAAGTGAGTATGAGTTTTTTTTAATGAATCGCCTTTCCTAATAATGTGCTAGTTAGCCAGTTCCTCAAAGAAGATGTAAGAGAGGGGCGGGGTGAGCAGTAGCTCATTATCATTTAAAGGGACTTGCACCGAAACAGGTCGCTGTGAACAGAGCTGTTTTTGACAAGGTAAAAAGGGTGTTGTTTTACACTGCCATTGAGAAAATTTAACCAAAGTATGTTATAGACTTTTCATGTAGGCCCTATAGAATCATACCAACTTATGAAAAATGGGCATCTGATGTCCCCTTTAAGAATGGCTAAGATGCTCATCACCATGGAAACATCATCTTGACATTTACAGTACATCGCCTTCAAAACAGCCAAGAACATCATCATTAACTTTCAAATAACAATGCTCCTCATAGTGATTCATCATATGCATTTTTTTACTATTTCTGGCTCTGTGCACCACTGTGGGCCTAAAATAACCACACAACACAAGCGCTTCATGACAGTCTCATTAGTTATTAGATGCAGCTGGTTTTGCGTTTAATACTGAAATCAGGACACTGCAAAAACAGATTTAAGGCAACAGGATTTGAAGTTTATCATAAATTCCAATTTTATAGTTCACAAAAAATTCCAATCTTTTAGAAAACAAAAGTGTTTAAAAATAAACCTACAAATAACCTTGAACAGGTTGTGATAATCGTATAATATAAATATTTCAGACATGTTTCTCCAACAAACATTTAAGACATGCAACTCCCAAGAAAACACTGTTAAGGACATTCATACAGACCAGAAGGCACCCTTCCATTCATGTTTGTGCAAGATTTACTATATAGAAAACATAAGAAGAATGAAGGACGCACAATGAGGACACAGACCAGACATACACACATTACTACTCTCACACACACAAACACTATAATTCATCCTTAGTGCTTTTCTGTAGTCCTTCTGTGTGTTTGTCATTCTTCAACCACTTGTTGAACACCGCAATAGGGTCTATGTTCCAATGTTTGTGGAAGGAAATGGGGGTCTGGTGGGCCAAAAACTCCTTTGCGTAATCTTCTGGACGAGCCTGAGACAGAATTAGAAAATAAGGAAAAGATAGGATTAGTGTTACCCAATGAAACTACTACTGTTCCTAACTTCCTGTTATTTGGTACATTAAAAGAAACCCTGAGAAAAAACATCTTCGCGTACACTGGTGAAGTGACAATTTCGTTTAAAAATGTGATGTGAGGTCTGACTGAACTCAAATGGGTCTTAGAAAAGTAGTGGACGTCTGAAAAAAACATTAATTTGTAATATGTTGATTATATAAATTAAATATTAAAAAATATAATTTAGCATTGTCATTTCAGAAGTAAATAATTTTCAGTATTTCAAAAAAGTAAAAAAAAAAAGTAAAAAAAAAAAAAAGAGAAGATCGTGGTATATCCTTATTTAGATTAGATAAAAGTGTGTGTACCTGGTGGAAGAGGGGACTGTGTGTGACAGGAACTCGTAGAGCATTGAGACACATGCCCAAAACCATGTCATCAGGAGCATCGTTACTGTAGCACTTACAGCCGCTCGCCAACAGCTGAACCACAGCCTCTCGACTGAATACCATCCTGTACGAGACACAACACAGCAGCTCAGAATACTCGACTTCTCCGATGCAGGATAACAAAAACAACTGAATACACCTTTATTGAGTGCTGTGATATATGGAATATTGATTTATCATTGCGGGGTTTGTGAATCCCACACGAGAGGTTGTTGCATGTGCACTAACCACACAGTCACTTACGGTAAGCTCATTTCTACAGGAACGTTTCCAAATATGCTAGCAAATTGCACAGCATGTGGGCATTTATCTGTAGGGGGCCAAATTAGAGAGCTCAGTTTGCAATTGTGGTTGTTGCACTTTGTCGTCACCTCTGTGAATTGTAATGTTACACTGTCGTCATGGCAGTGGATTTTAACATTACTGATGACTGTTTGTATTTACACAAAATTATGTATTTACACCATTAGGTATGTGAAGACGTCACAGGAACACATTTTATATAT